AAAAAGGCACCGGAACACACATGTCCCTATTTAAACTGAAGAAAAAGAGAGAGGAAAAAATTAACCTGAACTCCTCAAAAATGCATCAAAAACGCAATCAGAACATGTCAGAAATTTGCATGCGGAAATGCATCTGGACTGCGTTTATATGGTGTGAACCGGCCCTAAATGTCTAATCAATCAGCTGTAACAGGGCATTTGGAGGAGGTATCATGGAGGTGGAGATTTTATTTTGGATGGAGCGGGAAATGGTTGGAGACTCTGTCATGTTTTTAAAAGAGCAGAATTGCCAAATTTCTTTTGTCTTTGTTTACTTTGGCTCTCCTTTGGACCAGAGTCAGCTGATTGTGGGCTAAAGCCATCTGTCTGCTGATGTCACAGAGCCTCCCCAGGCTCTGGAAGGATCCTGACCATATTGCCGGGATCCACCCAGCTGCCTGAATAACAGCTGGCTTTGGCGTGAGAACTGGAGGAGCAGAGAATGGTGACTGACAGTCACTGCTCTCCACTCTAAACAGACCAAGGACTCAACAATCAGTGGTCATGGGATCACTCAGTTGCCAGGCTTAGAGCCAACGTGGGACAACTGCAGCATCACACTAGTGTTACAGCATGATTGAGAATATGTGTTTGTATGTATGTGAAGCCCAAACTTCTCTTTTAATTAACCTCTCTGTACCTATTGAGAAGATTTATCTCAGTATCTCTCAGGACAGAAAGTGATGTATAAATCACACTAGTGGGGACACAAACAAAAGCTTGTTTTGGCTGGATCAGGCAAGAGGCTTCTCAGCTGACTATATATGATGGAATAAGTAACCAGCTATGTTAGACATTTTCAACTGATGGTTATTGTTAGAGCTGACACTGGAGGTATCCTTCTGATCTTCTCCACTCATCCATTACATACGCATACACACACAGACAATCTAAGCATGCCTACTTATACAAAAAAAAAACATCCTTTAGCACTTGGATTGTATCCACATGTCTGTAAACAATGCAACACTTCCCAGGGTAAATCAATGGTACTAGTCACCATTCTCTACTATCTACACTTTCTTGTTGGCGGCTTTGAAGTTCACTTTTTAATTAGTAACTTGGCTAATATGGCAGCCGATCCCGTCTGTATTATTATTATTGATTATTCTTTATTTCAATGGAAAGTTGTTCCTTTTTAGTGTATAAGGTTAGTAAATCTACAATTTCCTTAGGAATGGTAGAAAGCGAACTGTCACGTTTAAATGAAGAACACACACAGGATATAAATTAGTGATTTATTATTGCACAGTTTTTTCCCCATAGGCAGAGAGCAAAATAAAACCAGTACAGACTACTTCACATGGGAAACCGCAATAAAAGGCAATCTTTCCTATAGATTCCATAGGGACTAGCCCTATAAATGTTGGCGTGCTTAAAGAGGAACTTCACCCATTATTTTACAAATTAAAAGTCAGCAACTACAATTACCGGAGTCCATTGCTGTCTTTCCACAGCCAATTCTTCTCAGTGCTGCCAGATCCCTGGCACCACCATCTTGGATTTGGAAGCTGGCTGTGACTGATGAATTGCAGATGGCTCCCCACTGCATATGCATGATTGCACAGTTCAGGGTGGCTGTTTCTGCGGCCTACTGGGGCATGGGAGGCTTTTCCCCATTTACAAGGAACTTGTAGATTTCCTCACCTTATACTGTTAATAAATGAAATTGCGAGGTATGGCTATCTCACCCCAGATAGAGAGATAGAAAATTATTGATCAGTATCCTTAATGTAATTTAGTACCCAACATTGGTATCGTTACATAGAACCAAAAGCTATAATCCTATACCCACAGTTGATCCAGAGGAAGGCAAAAAACCCCAGCAAAGCATGGTCCAATTTGCTCCTGCTGGGAAAAAAATTCCTTCCTGATCCCCCGAGAGGCAATCGGATATTCCCTGGATCAACTTTACCTATAAATGTTAGTATCCAGTTATATTCTGTGTATCCAAGAAATAATCCAGGCCTTTTTTGAAGCAATCCACTGAGCTGGCCAGAACCAACTCTTGAGGGAGTCTGTTCTACATTTTCACAGCTCTCACTGTGAGATTAAATTTCTTTCCTTCCAGACGTAAAGAGTGCCCCTTTGTCCTCTGTGATGACCTCAGGGTGAATAGCTCTACACCGAGTTCACTATATGAACCACTGATGTCTTTATACATGTTGATCATATCCCGCCTTAATCTCCTCTTTTTAAGAGAGAATAAATTAATTTCCTCTAACCTTTCCTCATAGCTGATCTCCTCCATGTTTCTCGGTCTTTTACCTTCATGCATAGAATGAAACCTTCTGTGTGCACCAGCCCCCCCCCCCCCCCATAACTTCCTTAGCCCCTTCTCGATGCAGAAATGTGCACAAGAGCCTTGGCTGTCCCAAGTCTCTTCCTCCTAATTAGCTGAGGCAGCAGCCAGAACCATTGGCTCCTGCTGTTGTTAATCACAGCCAGTGAGCCAATGAGGAGAGAGCAGGGGGCAGGGCCAAGCGGTGGTTATGTGTGAATGGACACAGAGAGCAGCGGCTTGGGAGCCCCCATAGCAAGCTGCTTTCTCTGGGGTCACTTGACAGGAGGGAGGAGCATCATCGGGGGGACCAGAGAAGAGGAAGATCAGGGCTGCTCTGTGTAAAACCATTGCACAGAGCAGATACGTTTGCCATGCTTGCTATTAAAAAAAATCTGCCTTTACAGTAATTTTAAACAGAGTAAACCAAAAAAGGTTCCAGTTGCATCAAAGGAAATGAGCTCCTTTCAGGCTTATATGGCTGTGGTTGTACACTGGAGATGGAATTTAAATTTCTCCCCGCTGTCTTTTGCAGGGAGCTATTAAACGTAGCTTAACATATTTCTTTGATATTAATGCGAATATTTATGTTGTAATTTGTATTTATTTACGTATTTATTTTTTTCATTTTTATTTATTTTTTATGCTCTGTGGAAGTCTTTAATGTCACAATTCTAGTGACTAGTGGTTTGCCATAAACTAAATAACAATGTTAACCAATAAAAAGACATTCATCATCTGCGCTAAACTGTAAATATGGTTTCTAGTTGATACAAATTGATTTGCTTGAAATTGCTTTTTTCATTATGTGTTGACGTGACATGCCTCTTGGTTGTATTAATATATATTGATTATTGTTTGTGTGTATTGGCTTGCAGGCCTTTTCCTGAATGCAAATCTACAACAGCACTCTGGCTAGATCAGTCATACAGCGAATATTCCCTACATCCCTGACACAATGGCAGACGAAGATCTCATCTTTAGGATGGAGGGGCTGGATAATGGCCACATTTTAAAAGATTGTAAGGGTGACAGCGATGAGGAGGACAATTACTTCATCTGCCCCATCACAGATGACTATTCATCATCACCCCGTGAGGCTAAGAAGAAAAAGACCCGCTTCTTTGGCAGTCTGCCAAAGTCAGACGAGTATGGAACCAGTTCATCTCCTAGAAACTCCTTCAATTTCAGGGTATGTAAGAATACTAAAATGTGTGGCAGTGATAGAAGGGTGTTTAAAAGCGATTTTCCACCTTCAGATGAATTTGGTGTTTTCATTTGTACACACTTCTTTTATTGTTCTAAATGTATTGCATATCCTGCGTTTTTCTCTGTGTGCACTTTACATGCATTGTTTATACAGGTTGATATTCAAGTAGCACCGCACAATGCTGCTCTCCGAAATGAAAAATAGGTGAAAAAAGCAACCCCCTATAAGGCTTGGGACTTTGAAGGCTTGAATATATACCAAAAGAGTTTTTATAAAAAGTACAAACTTTTTATTTTGTCAAAAAATTGTTTTAAGTCCCAAGCCTTATAGATGGTTCCTTTTTTTCACCTATTTTGCAATTTTGGGGATGGTGGCTTATGATCAGGAATTTCTTTCTCTTTTCTTTCTCTCTCCGAAATGAAAGAATCATATACAAACAATCCAACAGAGATTGATCTTAATTTAGGGAATCAAAAAGCAATTAAAAACAATGCAAAACCATACAAAACAACTGGAATGGGTTTAGAAAAGATTGCAGGAAGTTATGTACGGGCGTGTAGAGCTAAAGGCAAAACTTTTTTCTCCATTTTGGATAATGTAAGGGAGGGTTATAACCCCTATCAAGCTTTTTTGCCATTTATGACCCATTGGGAAGATTTCCCTTCACTTCCTGTCCCATAGCCAAGACAGAAAGTGAGAAGAAATCCATCTAAAGTAAGGAAAATCCTAGGAAAATCCTAGGTTGTCACCAGAACTAGTATCCCCACTGGAAGAGTAAGAGTTTCTATTACTGTTCCTGGGACAACCCAAATTTGGGTTTTCTTTTTTACTTTTACTCTTGGTGATAACAGTAAATGTGACAAATACGAAGGGTGAATCTCTCTAACGGGAACACAGGCAGCAATAAAACCTGACAGATGTTGTAATCCTTCTCCACTCTGTTGGAGACTACAAAATAAAAATGTTGGCTTTAGTTGTTCTTTAACCACTTGCCCTTCAGAGGTTTTACCCCCCCCCCCCCCCCCCTTCCTGACCAGGCCATTTTTTGCGATACGGCACTGTGTTACTTTAACTGACAATTGCGCGGTCGCGCAACGCTGCACAAATGAGATTTATGTCCTTTTTCTCCCACAAATTGAGCTTTCTTTTGGTGGTATTTGATCGCCTGTTCGTTTTTAATTTTTTGCGCTATAAACAAAAAAAGATCAACTAATTTTGAAAAAAAAAAAAACAAAAATAATTTTGACTTTTTGCTATAAAACATATCCAGTAAAAAAATGAAAAAAATCAAATTTTGACATAAATTTAGGCCAAAATGTATTCTGCTCCATGTCTTTGCTAAAAAAAACAATCCCAAAACATGTAATTTAATTGGTTTACGTGAAAGTTATAGCGTCTACAAATGATGGTTTATATACTGAAATTCTTTTTTACTTTTTTTTTATGCTAGTAATGGTGGCGATCAGCAACTTGCAGCGGGACTGCGGCAGGCATTCTAACACTGGGGGGAACTGACTAACTGCCACTGACACTAATACAGTGATCAGTGCTAATAAAAAGCATTGACACTGTACTAATGACACTGGGCTGGAAGGGGTTAACATCTGGGGCAATCAATGGGTTAACTGTATGCTGTTTTACTGTGTTGTCTGTGTGTGCTTTACTGTGTAAGAATACTGTTTTAAATGACTCTGCTATACGGAGCAATACAAAGCACCGTGACTGGACAGGGGAGAGATCTGTATTGTTTACATACAGACCTCTCCTCTGTCAGTATTCCTCGGCCAGGACCCGGTGATTGACAGCTGAAGCCGCCACCTACCCGGAAATACAAAATATATACACGATTTTGCACAGCCCTGTCACGCTGTAGCTTTAGTTGTGCTATAGGGTATTCAAAAAGCGGTTTAAAGTGGACTTCGCACATAATAGAGAAGATCCACTTTTTGGGTGTGCCCCCCCCCCCCTACTGAAACTCCTATGGAGGAAAAAACGTTAGATTACTTACCTTTCCCCCGGATTTTACCTGTGGTGCCAAGGCGAGGGTGACATCATCCTTACCTAGTAGCCTAAATCTTGCTGAAAAGACTATTCTGCACTGTGTTGGATTACTCCTTATTCCCGGGATATCATTGGCTGGATGATGAGATCACCCCTTGCACTAAGGGAGCTGGGGGAACAGTGACCATTCTCTAGCTTTTAATTTAGCATTTTAGCAAGGTGCGGGGGGGAAGCACATTTAGAAACTAGACCTTGCATGGACCATAAGGTTCAGCATAAAACCCGTGTAATTATGTGAAACAGCCAGGTACTTTACAGCCGCATTGTTGATATAAAAAATCCCAGGCTGCAATAACCGAGATTATGTTCTATAATGCTGTAACAATAAATTGCCACTTCCCCATTGACATAAGCCACATATTTTGACTTTCTGTTTGCTGCCCTCTGTGCAGCAGTGTCAGCAGGAGATGCCAAGTGAACATGCATTAAACCTTAATCCTATGCAGATTTTTTTTTTTCTAGGTCAGATGAATTCCAAAAGTACAAAAATCTAATTGCACATGTTTTTTTTTTTTTTTTTTTTTAAGACTCCTCTCATTGCTATACAAATGTCCTTCACAGATCTTGAATTGCCTTTTGCAATGTACACATGGGACCAGCCAATCTACCTTAGCTACAAATATTCTCTGTATACAGTCATGTGAAAACATAAGAACATCCCATGGAAGTTGTTGACTTTTTCATATTTGAATAGGCAAACATTAGATCAACAGTCAAACAGTACCAACAGATAAAGGTGATCTATTTGAATAAGAACACAAGGAAAAGGTACCTTTGTAATCTTTTATTCAACAATAGCGGTAGATGTGATGGTGTAGAAAAAGTGAGTACACCCTTGGCCCCTGAAGCCGCTTCTGCCCCGTTTCAGCAGAAATGACCTTTTGTAGGTCTTTTGTATAACTGTCTACCAGTCTCTGACCGTCACTTCATGCCAAATCCATTGATTTGTAAGCTTTTGTATGTTTACTTGTATGAACTACCCATTTCAACCCCCCCTCCGACACCATTTCTATGGGATTCAAATTGGGCTGTGTCTAGGCCACCCTGTAACCCACTTTTTTGGATCTATTCCTTGTTAGATAAGTTGACATGTTTTTCATCACTATCCTGTTGAAAGATCCATTTCTGGTTCATCTTCAACTTGTGGCCTCACGTTCTTATCAAGCACTCTTTAATATGATGCAGAGTTGACTCTATAAATGCAAGTCCCTGAAGCAGCAAAGCCACCCAAAACCTATCATTTTTACCGCCATACTTCACAGTGCATTTGAGGTTATTCTCCTTAACCACTTCAAGTCCGGACACTTTTACCCCCTTCCTGTCCAGGCCAGTTTTCAGCTTTCAGTGCTATCACACTTTGAATGACAATTGCGCGGTCATGCAACATTGTACCCATATGAATTTTTTTGCATTTGTTTGAGACAGATAAAACTTTATTTTGGTGGTATTTATTCACCACTGGGATTTTTTTTTTGCTATATAAATTAAAAAGTCCAAAAATTAAAAAAAAAGTTTTTTCCTTATACAATTTTGCAAATAAATAATCTTTTCTTCATAAATCTGTTGGCCAAAATGTATTCAGTTATCTTTAGTAAAGAACAAATTACCGAAACGTATTAGTTTATAACCAAAAATTATAATTTTTTACCCTTTTTTTTTTTACAAGGGAGGAAAGAAAGCAAATTTAACGTATGGTCACCCTAGCAAACAGTGTCACCATTGTGACACTGTACTACTTGTGGGGATAAATGAAGATTTGATTTTTTACACTGATTGCAATATAGAAATCACCCATAAAAGCTGTAAAAGCAATAATTTTCACTATTTGTCATTGTTGCATTCTTGCAGCCATGGAGAAATACTGTGACGAGCTGTGATTGGTCACAGCTTGTCACATGGTCAACAAGGCAAGGTTACAAGTCCATGTGAATAGATTTGCCTTTGTACCATGTGATCTCTGTGATCATTCACAGATTTCTCCCACGTAGTAAGCAATGATGTCAGAAGTGACATCTAGTCCTTGCACCCCAAACTTCAAAGACATGCTGTCCTGATCACTGATTGGCCAATCTGTGATGTCATGATCAGGAGACCCAGGAGGACCCCACTCACACAGAGGTCCTGTACAGCGACTACAGTTTCAGTGTTTTGCTGTGTCCTACGGACACAGCTTGTGGCACCAGATCGCGGTGCTCCACGCTCCTGCACTGCTCCCGTCCAGCTGTTTATATACATGGGTTCCGGACAGGAAGTGGTTAAATGCCATCTTTGGTTGTGCCGAAGATGTTTACTGTTGCTGTGGCTAAAGAACTCAATTTGATCAGCTATCAGCACATTCTTCCAGAAGATCAAGTCTATATGTTTAATTACAAACTATGGTCTTCCTCTAATGTTCCTTTTGGACAGGGGAGGCCTTTTCCAGGAAATCTCTTTTTGATTGTAGATTCAAGCAATTTGATGCCAACTGTGTGCAGGAGTTAGCCTCCGATTTCCACTATGAAACTTCTTGGAGACTTCTTTTAGCAGCGGAATAAACGGTCATCTCTTGGGCAGAATTTGCTAGTCGGCTGATCCTGAGCAAATTAGCGTTTGAAATCTGCGTTTGTAGATCATTTTATTTACAAACTCATAGGCATCCACAATTTTTTTTTCTGAAGACCCTAGAGAGCTTTATTGATCTTGGCATGATGCCACACACATCAGTAAGACGGATTCCACCTACATACTTCCTAAGGAGGTTGTGATTGGTCACAGCTTGTCACATGGTAAGTGTTGGCATCTAATCTAGACCTTCTGATTCTATTTTTTATGAATTTAAAGTGGTGATTAAAGTAGGGTATGCCCAGTTTTTCCACATGAAAAAGATGTATTTTTTGTTAGTTTAGATTGAGAACATGAATATCATCATATCAATATTATATGTCATTTGTTGTATAACTTTTATTTGCATTCACTCTTTGAGTAAAAATCTGTTTGCCTGTTCTACTATGTTAAACAAGTCAACTATTTCCATGAATTTGCTAGTCGGCTGATCTGTACTTATTTTTTCATATGAATGTATATACAGCTAGTGACACTGGTGCAGATAGACAACATAACTTGTATAAATAGAACATAATTCTTTCAAACGTTTGAGTATTTTTAATAGTCCAAGCATGAATACATCAAAAATAAACAGAACGTGCATGCACTTTGTTGTTTAAATTTGTATATTTTTGGTTTATATAGTGAAGGTTCATATATGGAATCCTCCATGTGTTAACCACATAGTTATCGAAGTTCAATATTTGTTTTGATAGTGGTCCTTAGACTCCGACAGATCTATTCAGTAAATCATCCTGATTTACATTTGCATTACAAAGAGAATGTTGATCTTGTAATGCGAGTCACTTCTATGAAATGTAAATGCAGGCAAAAAGAAAAGCATATCATTTTCTTTGGACAGGCAGCATAGCAACTATGATGAAAGTGTCTCTATAGATCAATGAGTTTTTCCTGATTCAATCTACACCAGTTGTATTGGTTGATTGCATGTCGTACTAATTGCTTGGAGCATGCTGCCTGGTCATGTGATCTTCCCCAAAACAAAGACAATATTGTCTTTTAAATGAAATCTGCTGCTTCACTGATATTAGATATCCATGCCAGCAACCTGTACAGTCAAGAGGAAAACATTTTCCTTTTTATCTGAAGAAGAATGAATGAAAACACTCAGCTGAGACTCCATCCGCAGTAACACAAAACAGATGGTTTCTATATATTGCCTTTGGATATTATCATGGCTAAAAACTGCTTGGAGAGCACGTAGACATTTAACATCACATGTGTAGGCTCAGTGTAAGTCAACATTGCAAAAATAAGTCTCTGGCCAATAGATCTGTATATAAAATTTAAATATTTTGTGATGAAGCGCTCAACTTATATAGTGTATATAAAACCCTTTTTACATCAATAATATCGTGAAAAATTCAAAATAAGTGCTTAATTCCCTCTTAAATTCTATAAAACTATACAAAATCATTTATAAATAACTGGTGCAAATTCACACTCCTATTTATGCCCCCTAGTGGTCAAAAAACCGTGAAAATTCTAATACAAATGATAACACTTTATCTGTGCAAAGTGATAAGTGTCGACACGTTGCGCCACGATCACGTGGCTTCTTCAGGATCAGATCCTGAACAAGCCACGTGATCGTGGCGCAACGCGTCGACGCATTTCCGGTTAAGGGGTGACGTACTTCTGGTTCCGGGTTCGGATGCCATTTTGGTACACCTTAGTACACCCATAGCACATGGGAAACTGCTTCTTTCTGTTGGATGACATGTGAGTGTTCATTTGTTTTTGAAATTTTAAGTGCATTAAAACAGTGTTGCACTATGGAGGTTTGTCTTTGTTTCTACATATACGTCCTGTGTTTATGAGTCCATATTGTGAGGAAAGTGATCTGAGAGGAATTCATTGCTTGGAGGGGGATCTTAATTGAGTCGGTGGAGTCAGTGGAGCATGAAAACCTGGCTGAGATATTATATATTTAAGGCTTTGTGACCCGCAAGGGTCGAATGTGGAAGGTGAGGAGGCATTTTGGCTAAATCCAGGGGAGTCACATCAAAGTGTCACGAAGAGCACGTTTGCAGCATGGAGTGAAGTTATAATCACTGTGTATTGAACACTTATTATTTGCACAGTGTGGCATCACAAGTCTTTGGACTGTTTATTTGATTTAGTTTATATAATTGGATACACTTATCACTTTGCACAGATAAAGTGTTATCATT